GCCAGACGGTAGAGAACCTGATGGATACAGACAATGATTACAAAGAGCAGGTGCAGGAACTGGTGCAGAAGGTACAGCTGGCCTCGATGTAAAAATACCCTCCGTAATAAACGCATTACGGACAACAGATACGCACATAGTTATTGCGCCAACAAGTTCTTTAAATAATGTACCCTTTGGGTAATTCGTCCATGCAGCATGATTGTATGCAGGTATTGTTTACCAGGGATGAATTACAAAGAAAAATGTTTGAAATTTTCTTTAAAAAAGTTTGCAGAGTTGAAATCCTGCGCTATCTTTGCAGTCCCTTAACGGGGAAACAGCTCTTAAAAAGATCAAACGGATAACAGACAACAAGTAACAAAGTTGTTTTTATTCTTCGAGATAAAGGTGAGGTGGGTGAGTGGCCGATACCAGTAGTTTGCTAAACTGCCGAACGGGTCAAACTGTTCCGCGGGTTCGAATCCCGCCCTCACCGCTCGGTCAAACGAAATCCTGTAAGTCTAAACACTTATAGGTCTGTATAGGGAAGTAGCGCAGTCCGGTAGCGCACCTGGTTTGGGACCAGGGGGTCGCAGGTTCGAACCCTGTCTTCCCTACAGCTTTAAAAATAGCTCAACGAAAGTTGGGCTTTTTTTATGCCCCTGCCCTATCGGGATCACGTTGCGGGAAACCTGGCTCCAGGAAACATTGCCTTGTTCGCTGCGGGAACGCAGGCTGCTACGTCTGGTCAGCATACCTGTTACAACAGGAGCCTTTCCCGATTGTAGGCATAGGCGCTGAGCGCCCGAAACACGATGCGACAACCATTCTTCTCAACCCGCCTTGCCCCGGCGCTTTATGGGCTCTTAAAACGATCACAAAAAAAACGTAACAGCTCAATAGTGCTTTTTTATTTCACCATTGAGCTGATTCCGTAACCTATGTAATTCTTGCCTAAGGCAATGCCGCAGTCATATCTTTAACAGGAACAGGCCATGCACCGGGCGTCGGTACAGATACACCTTTGTTTACCCCCATTACCCTATTATCCAGCCCGAAATAATAAAGCGGCCAGCCTTTATAAGTAAGTTGCTTTCTTCCAAACACAGCAATCGAACCAAATAATGACTTGTCTAAAGCCGAAGGCACAACAACGCTACCGGTTTCATATACAGGCCAGATGCCATTATTTGAAAAATCGGATGCCGTGAAGTTGTTTTTATTTTGCCTATCGTTTTTAAACGTGTATAAGGTCACACCATTAGCATCCGTAAAATACATGGTCATACCTATTCCAACCATATAAGTGGAAGTATAGTTTCTACCGTCTTCACCCACTAATTGATTATTGGTAAGCATGATGGTATAATCCGGCTTGGCAACAAACCAGACACCATTGACATTTTCACCACCTGTCTGCCCGGGAAGTTCCTGCACGTTCGCACCATTTACCAGCGGTGCATAATAATACAATGGGTGCCCCTTATAGGTAATCTGTTTCCGACCTGTACTTGTTGTGATCGATTTAAAATCGGTGAACTCCAAGCCGGCTCCCAGTTTGGATCTTTCGAGGTCGTCTACATTAAATACCGGCCACATGAACTCACATCCACCGGTACAACTATTAAGGCCCTTGGCATCATTGGCAAAATAGTACAGCGTTCGTCCCGCTTTATCGGTCAGGATACTACCTAACGACGCACTTGTGGTTAGCTGGATTTCCTTGGCCATATCTGAATTACTTTTTTTAGAGCAACCCGATGCTGCAATTGACAAGACTACGACTGCAGATAAACCGGCCAGCAATAGCTTTAGACTTAATCTATTCATTTTCAACTGTATTTTTTGATTAAAAAATTAAACACCTTTTAATGCCCTCATTGGGCATTTGCGCACAGGAAAAGTGTGCAAATTTTAAAAAATGTTTGCAACCATCTCACAACCAATCAAATTTCAGTCCAATATGAATATGCAATTCTAAAATTAATTCAGCTGCTCATTAAACAAAAATAATAAACTACATAAACTATTGACAATTTAAAGAAAACAAATTTAATTATAACTAATTACACATTTAAAATAAAATCACAAAAAAAACAAAACCCATCGGTTAACCAAGAATGCAGCAATCCTTCTCTAAAAGATTGAAAAGCAATCCTCTAAACCAGGAAACGCCAACTACCCATATCAAAACGATACGTATTACCTGATTGCAGCAAAGAAGAATAGGTTGCCACCCTCAATTATAAAATGAAGGTAGTAATGGGATGAAACAGGGGCTAATTTCCCAGGAAATACCTATAGGAATGCAGTCAAGATATTACCTTCAGCAAGTGGAACAGTAAAAAGGCCTGTTATAGAAAGAAATAATAAAGGCTTCCGGGACGATTGTAAAAGCTACTATAAATCTACTGGATCCAATAAATAAACACTCAATAAGATGAAAACAGCAATCCTTTTCGGAGCAAGCGGGTTTATTGGTTCGTATCTGCTAACAGAACTATTGAATAGCACCGATTATGATCAGGTGACCATTGTTGTCCGGAAAGAGTTGCACATCAATCATCCTAAACTACAAACGATCATTGGCGATTATGACTCGTTACCCGGCTTGAAAGAACGCATCGTTGCCAACGAGATTTTCATTGCCCTTGGTACAACGAAGAAAAATACACCACAACAGGATAAGTATTACCAGGTAGATCATGACTACCCGGTCTTAGCGGCAACACTGGCCAGAAGAAATGGTACCACTGCCGTTTTCCTCGTCACTGCCGTTGGCGCCAATGAACAATCAACGGTATTTTATTTAAAAACCAAGGGCGAAACCGAA